GCTGTTTTGGCTAGTTTGGAATTAACCTCCAAACAAAGGAAAACCTACTGTTTCCTTTCGGGTAGTTCTTGCTAGGTGTTTGGGAGGTTGCAGGGGGCTGCGGACTGAAACCTGCCTCAGAGAGGTGTCTGAAAGCCCAGCCAGCCAGATTAGCTGGCACTTAAACTGTTTGCTCAGAATACTAACATAACATCTTAATGTAAATCTATTTGGCCACGCAAAGAGATTTATTCTTCCCAGCTGGGCTGTATTTCAGGGCACAATCTATATCGTCCTTTAATGTGTTCTTCCTCAGACAGTTATTGGCCTTTAATTGTAACAGAATGACAAAGTGAAAACATAAAAAGCCTTGTGATTTTTTCAAACCCAGCTAATGCCAAAGTTTCAGAATGACTGTTTCGACTTTAAAAGCCACTGTACTATTAAAGCAGTTACCCAAAATGTAGTGCTACTAGCTAGTATAAACCTTTAAATCAGTCAGGGACCAAATATATACACATATGTATGTTTTTTAATTTAAGCCAGAGGCCAATTATGTAAGTAGGTCATTTTAAAAAGTTGACAAAAAACATTTAAGGAAAGCTGCATATTCCATTTTGCCAATGTCAAAGCCAATGAGCATCATTAGCTCGGCAAGCTCAGCTAATGAGGTCGCAGGCAGAGCAAGCATTTTAGAGGAACCTTTTCTGGGACCATTCTGTAGCCCCTTCCCAAGTCTCAAGCCACTCCTTTATAAATTTTGAACAGGTGAAGACTTCATTGCAGGTGACTTATTTTTTAATGCTGATGATGCCAGCCCATAATCTTCATTTTACTTATGCAAAAGAAGAGATGAAGTGAGCAGAGTATGTGCTTGCTTGGCCAAACTATTTCAGGAGTGTGATGGTGGCTGGAAGGCAAGCGGCACTGCTCCCCTTCCTCTGGCGTAGCTTCCCGCAGGCTTCCCCAGGGCGTTCCCTCAGTGCAAACCCAGGGTACCGCAGCGCTCTCTGTGCCCCCTGATTAAAGGCCAAGTTTGTTGGGAACAGTTCAGGACGACAACTGGTCACCAAAAGTAAACGTCTTTGATGTATTATATATGCTTGTACTATGCTAACACGTCTCTCTCCCATGCAAGAAACGCTGCATCTGAGAGAGGTTCTGAAGCAGTTATACCACGACCCAAGTACTTGCAGATCAATCCCCTAGTATTGAGACGATACTCATTGCTCCTTCTGAGCAATCCACAACAGCAGAAAATTATACTTCATTCCCTAACCGTGCAAAGACATAAAAAGACTTTTTAATGCAAACATCAGAGTTGCAAATCTGCACACCTTTCTTCTGTTTTGTCTTTCTTTGCCCTTCGCACAGATATTTATGTTGTTGGGCACGATGTATCTTCCTTCATGCATCTGATTAGGGATTTCCTTAGAGACTTATGATATGTTAGCTAAATGGTCGCATATTTTAGGATAATCTAACATTAATACTTCCAAGATCTCAAGTACGTTTGACCTTCTCCAGTTCTGCTGAAAAGAAATCGGGTAACTGTAGCAAAATTAATCTATTAATTTCTCAGGAACCAAAAATTGATGATAGCAAAGAAGAGAAAGCAAGGTCACTCTGTTACATCATTTATTCACTTTCACAGTACCATTCAGTATCATCTTTCCAAGTACTGCTGTTCACAGAATTAACCCTTTGGATCCTGATAGTCATATTGAGGAATATCTTGCCAAGAAATGGATTAGATTATTTTTGGATTAAAGTACCATTAAATGTGAAAACAGTATCAGAAACTCATCTACGTTTTTACTTTTTTAAAAAATTGTGAATTGTGGAATGAGAAAAGTTGCATCTTTTATATGCTTAGACTTAGGGAAGTATCGAGTAGAAAAGATCTCCTTCTGCTATACCTATCATTTATATCATCATCTGGATTATATAAAAATTATGGCTTGAAAAATTCCTGTACAGTCACATTTCCCTAAAGGTACACAGGGTTCAGGAAGCTGCTTCATCCTGTGTTATAACTCCTCATCCCAAAATGACTAACCCCCTAATCTGAATAGAGATTTTACTGTTTAATACAGCTCCACAAACCACATACTATTACCTTAGAAACATCAAACCGTGTTTTCAAATAATGGCAAGACGATAAAGGTACATGACGATGCACAAAACATTTAAAGGGCTGACAACAGCCTGCCAGCATAAACAGCATGAGATTAGGCTGTAAATGCAGCCACAGCAAGCACTGGAAAGATGCTGGGCTCAGTAAACTCTTGTGTCAGGTTTGTTTGATGCCCCTTAGTCGAGGGAATACAAGATCCTAAAATACTTCAAAATCAAAAGCTGGCACATAAAATGCATCATTGCCTTCACTTCATAGCGCTCCCACCCCCCAAAAAAACCCCCAACAAATCAAGACAAAACTCAAAATTCCCAAACAAGAAAGAAAGAAAGACAGAAAGAAAGAAAGACAGAAAGAAAGAAAGACAGAAAGAAAGAAAGACAGAAAGAAAGCGAGCAGTGTTGGAGACGGCATTCCCCTTTTGGGCCCAAGCACACCTGTTAAATTACAGGTCTGGGAATAGGGATGTACGCAAATGATTTCTGGCCTGATTTCCGTACGTGATTAAAATGTATTATATTACTCATTAAAATGACAGTAAACGTCCTGACTACCAGAACTTGCATCTGACAAGGCTGTGTCAGAGCTTTGGTCTGACATGAGGTCATGAGCTTTGAACACAAACTGTTAAAATCCTATCTAGCTCCAGTATCTCTGTAAAATGGTGTCCTAGCTGAGCCCTGCCCTAGTTTTCTACCCCTCGTAGTGTTTCTGAGACTGACATCACTGAGTTCAGTGTTTTCTCCCTAAATGATAGAAAAGAGAGAGTTTTAGCTTCAGGATGGCTGGGTTTTCAGGGTTGGTTTTTGGTTTTGGTTTTTTTTTTTGGTCCAGCCTATTAAAATGTATGGGTACCCCTGCTGCAGCTCGGTTAGTATGCTAGCAATATAGTGATAAATTAGCCATTTGTTTATGCCAGAATGAGCAGGGAATGTAATATCCTAAGGCACTCCAGTATTACTGCAAGACCAGTGTGATTTTTGAGGCATTAGGCCGAAGGCTGAGCAAGTTCTTTCTACCAAACTATACTGTAATCTTCCAGGAAATGCAACTTCTATTATGTCTTATTGCTATAATGAAATAATTATACAAAACTAATGAAAATGAGACATATTTAATAATTCTCTCAGTAAATCCGTGACATAGAATGACAGACCTGACAGGGTATCAGAAAGCTCCATTTGTGCCCATAATTTTCAGGTAATAATTGTAACAGTGTCATTTGTTCCACTACAGCTGGTCTGCTGTGGATGTTTTTAAAAGCGGCACTAAATACTGAACATATTTCATCATCAAAGCCAACTATTTGAGCATGGTCATTTTTATGCTACACATTTTCATTGGAGTTACAGACAACTATCTCTCAACATCTAATCTTGCAGCTTTTACCCTGGTAAAACTCACTGGATTTCAGTGGGAAGTTTGTCAAAGTTAAACGCCATGTAAGTGGGATCAGGTTTTTACATACCCCCCAACTAAACGGAGAAAGCACCTATATTAAGTGATCTTTTTGTCAAACCTTAAAAACCAAATAATGGTGTTTTATATCTCCCACAATTGTTAGTTAGTAATTCCTACATTTAGTATTTAATACAGTGAATTCTTACTTAGTTTCTGTGACATACAACCTGTTTTACACACAGTGTGTACCACTATGGATATAACTAGGAAGTGAGCATTAATTCATACTAAATGCATTTCCATTTCCATTTTAAAAGTACTTGCTCAGAGCACTTGTAAAATTATTAGCACTTGTAAATATTTTTAACTAAGAAATTAAGAAATATTTAGAGTGGCAGACATTATATGAAATAGTTATCAGCCCTCCAATTTTCAAGGAGGTGGCAGAAATGAGACACACCAGTATCTAACTCCATTGTAACTGCAGAAAAAACCAATGCACAGAATTTGTCCATCTCCTACTAACTGGTGATCCTTGCTCAAGACTTCAAAAGTCCCCCTGGGGCTAAATGAGATCCACAGGCCATAGTATTACAATGACAAAACCTAAGCTAATGTAAATTATTGTACTGCTGAGGTCTCAGCTTATGCTAACTCCTGATTCACATCATTAACTTTACACATCATCAGTAATTTGAATCACTAAACACAGTGGTTACCTCCAGACTCACTTTCAGCCATAAATCCCTTATCAGGCTAAAACTCACACAAAGTTTATATTGTTGGACCCAGGCCTGTGTCACGCACATTCTTTTTACAAGTCCAAGACCATGAAAAAGGAGGAAACTCAAGATCATGCTAGTCTAGGTTTTGCCCAAGAACCCTCCTAGCTACTGTATGGACACGGTAGGTATGTATTGCAGCTATGCGTGCTCAACTAGAGCCCACCAGTAACCCTTGTGGGGAAATTACTCTGTCAAAGTTGGCACTAAAGCGGCCAAAAGGTCACTGCAAGAATCCTTGGACCACTTGGAGCAATGGCTAGCCGTCTCATGCAGGATGCCTCAGCTCAGAATGGCCGGGCCACCCTACTCCTACTCCTGGCATAAGGGCACCCGAGGGCAAGGCCAATAGCACGGCACATCACCAGAGCTGCGAGCAGGAGACACATCACGGTTTAGCTGCACACAACTTTCAATGTGAATACAGGACATGATATTGTGCACAAAAGGAGAAGTGCACAATACTTTACAGGCACAGAAGTACAATCTAATTTGGTTTACGCAAACCAAGGGAAAAAGAGACAAGAGGCCCCACAGAAGTCAGGAATAATGTTGAAAATATGCTGGCAAGAAAATATTTTCAGAGAAAAAAATACCAACCCATTCACATTCTTCTTAGTTTGCTTATAACGTACAAGACAACATACAAAAGAATGAAAAATTATATTGAAAAGAATGAACAATTGATATTTTGAACTTACATATGACGTAATAATCTTTGTTCTTCTGAAATTCCAGGCCCCAGAGATTAGGACTGAACTCTTGAAACTTGATGGTAAACTTAACATCTTGATCTGGCTTGGCACAGTTGAGTAGAGGTGTATTGTCCTTTTTAATAGCACAGCTATCTGCTTGGTCTTTATCAACCATGTAGACCTTATAATATTCATACTGGCCAACAGTTTTAGAGTCCACCTTTGGGCATATAATATCCAGTTTGTCTCCTATCTGTGGATATAGTACCAATCCTTGTCCAGGAAGGAATCTAAAACAGAAAAAAAGGAGGGGGGGGAGGGGAAGGGAGAGAGAGAAAAAAAAAGACAAAATGTGAGACACTTCATAAAACCTCATCCAGAAAAGTAGCAATTGCAGGGGACAGAAAGGAACAAACACACAGTTTCCAAAACCAAAATGACAGACTGAGCAAACCAGACCTTAATATTTTGGGCCTGACTCAATTTAATATCAACAAGATGTTTATGTAGATCTTGGAAATTACAGATGGATTGAGTCTTACAGTCCGTATCCCAGTTTTGGGAACTCTAGTAGGTTTTATGTCTCTGGCAGGCACTGCTGTTTCTTCCACAGTTGGCCATTTACAGCAGCTAGTACAACGTCTGGTGGGCTACAATCCTGTTTTTCTGCTTTGGTAACATTTCTACTATTCTTGCACATATTTTGCTAATTTTGGATATGGGAGAATGACAAGAATAATCTTTCAAACCCCCTGAGCAGCCATATGGGAAAGGAAACAACTTGGACTTTAAGAGTTAACAACATATTAAGATGCTGATTGATATCACTAGTGTAACACAAAGGAACATCAGTCACTCACCAGGATCATGCTTACAGACCTGGGATGGACAGAGATCTACCTGACCCAAGGACCACACATGCTTTTGATTACACACTTCTCCAAGACAGTGTGACTGCTACACTACAATGATTTCTTCTCTTCATAAACTCTACCATTACCGTCATCATTTTAGCTCTTTTTGTATTTCTTGTGCTACAAATGAAACACAGGTGTGCTTTTGCCTTAGTATAGATGAAGACTTCTTACACAAACTGGCAGTAAGCTTTAATGTTTGGGATTAGACTCGATATTGTATCTTTCCTACTCGTATTAATTAATAGGCAAACGTCACCACTTCTTCACGAAAGAAAAATATAAATAATTACTCATAGTATTGATCCATCCACAAAATGAGGAGCCTTGGTCTCACACGGACAAAAGCCACAGCAGGTTTGTTTGTTTCTTTCTCCATAAGATGTATTTGTTCCAATTAAGGCCAAGAAGTGCATGTTTTGGAACTACAGCCAACGACACAACGTCCTCGAATGCACAGACCTAAAAGACTGACTGACTTTCCCCTTTCTCCTGCCTGCCAGCCTTTTCCAAAGATCTTCCTTAATGGAGAATAGGCCTGAAAAACTGACTGAAACAATTGGCGCCTAATGAACACCCTTCTCCAAGTGCTAGCATTTAAACAGCACACGTAGTAAATCTAGCTTATTCACAGGCAGCCTTCCTGGAAACTTTAAATTGGAGTATTAAGGCCCAAGCAGAACAAAGCTGTAGGCGTCGGTGACCTCCAGCCTCTGGCTTGGCTCAAGGAGCCCACCAGCATGTAGTAGTGCTGGGGGAGAACTTACTAAACTAGAGAAAAGAATGATGCGATGCCCCAAATTTCGAATCCGTTGTTTACAACCGCTTGCTCCCACACAATGCAAGTTTATGATCTGTGCTAATTGAGCGGGATTATTTTCACTCACAAAGCCTGTGTAAGAATTATATTTGTTGTGAAGCAGCACGTAGCAGGACAAAGACATGTAATTACAGATTTAGGGAAAAAGAACAATGAAATGTTATGGCAAGACAAGCGACTGTTGATGTGTAAATCACTGCACTCTTTTGTGTCGTGCAGTGCAATTTCCAGACTACAGAAACTACGCTTGGCCACGGCTGTTCAAACTAAGATGCACTGGAGACGGGGCGAAGCTGTGCCTCCTCCTCCAGTTTTTGGACGCGCCAAAGGAATGCAGTAACTAACTACCACCTCCTGAAAGCCGAAATGGTGAAACAAATGGAAAGGTGGAAATGCATCCTCCTCGGAGTCCCTGGCCTGGCGAGGGACGACTGAGGGAGAGGCCAGCTCTGCAAGGGCGCCGAGGGAATGCGGGGAGGAAGACCCCAGCCAGCAAACGTTCCCAAGGGAGCAGCACGGACCCTGACTCAGGCTCTCCTCGGGGACCGACTCCGACCGGGCAAAGGCAAGGGGACAGAGTTTCTGAGCTAACCTCCGTCACCCGTGACTGACTTTACCACCTTGTCTGACCACAGCCTCATTTTACTTTGCTCCTGCGCAGCAGTGTTGTACCAGAAAGATGAAAATTACTCGTATTCCCCCATCTGCATGCCAGGACAAAGGCTGGTCGCTGTATAATCCCACCGCTGCAAATATTTCTTCTTGCCAGCAATTCTTCTTCATGTAACAGGAACGTGTAATATGAAACACAGGAGATTTCAGAGGACCGGGTCTTCGTTTTTAAATTAATCAATTTAGATTCCCATGCATAATAAATATGAAATTCATAAGGTTAGAAATGCGCACCTGTCTGTCATTATCAAGAACATGACCTAAAAGCTGCCCTGAAAAACAAAAAACACTGATTCTAATTTTAGATTTTGTGTATATATAGGTGTGTAATAAAGCAGCACCAGTATACGTTCTCCATGCAAACTGAGCGCAACGGGGATGGGTTCAGAGTCGGCGTGCCAGGCACTCCTCAGGAACAGCTACCAGAGAGAAAGCACACTTGTGTGCCTTGGTTAAGTAGCCAGGAATTGCCCCATAAAAGGTAGAGGACAGAACCACCCCCAACAGACAGCTAAAACATTTTACAAGAGCTTTAAACCGACGCACTCGTTAGACTTTATGGCAGGGGAATATTCTCGCTATGGCTCTGAAGTCTGTACAGTTTGAGAACTAAACTCGGTAAATCTCCTTCCACTTGAGTCTCTGAACTTGGTTCTAATGCTGCTGGGATTAGGAAAGAAAAAAGGCTGAAAATGAAAGGATTAATCTGAGAACTTGATTGTATTGAAATTTTTTCCACAGTTTGCAGTTTTGATCGTGACCTTTGCGAGAAAGACATTTTTCCAATTTACTTTCCTTATTTTCTTACAACAGTAAAGCACAAATATGGATGGAGAGAATAAAAAAGTTTCACATCATGCATTTCAGTTCAACCACAAAACTTACAGTGGCTGATTAGTAGCAGGCACAATTATTATCCCTGCATTTGTGTAATACTTTTGCTACTGTATTTTCATAAAGACTTTTAATAAATCATTTGCTGGGTACCAAGCATTTTCTGAAGCTATTTATTAAATGTCAGTAGGATTAAGACTACTGTTTTATGATTCTATTTTTGAAAACCTTGTATCTGAAAAAAAAAAAAGGGGCAATGTACTCATCAGCCTTGGTAGAGGTTAACAAAAACTTCCGGATTAATCCTGAATCTTTATTTCTGCAAGTGCTGAGGTAGCCTTAAGCATTCTGGGGTAGCATCAACACTTAGGAAATGCCTGCAGGATGGCATCTGTAAAAATAAAGTTAATAAACTGGCTTTAAAAGTCTGATCAGAATGTGCCTTCAACTAATTAAAAAACTCTTTTTTTTTCCCCAAACAGAAATATAATAAAGACAGAGCAAGAGGTTTTCAGAATCCTGTGACTGATCGCAAGGAGGCTGCGTTGGTTGCTTGGGTCAGTGACACGCTCTTTGAGCAGTCGGGATAGCGACAGCACTGGAACCATCGCTTTCCATAAAAAACTAACTGTCTAACTTTCTGCTTCAGCTCTAAATGTTCTTTACTGGGAAACCTACATACCAATATAGGCCCCTGTACCCCAACAGAAACTTAGGAGAAAAGCTTAGCGAGTTTCACAACTCATTTCTGTCAGCAGTCAGATATAGTGAGACTAGAGCATTCAAAGAATCTTGCCCACAATTAACAAGACTAGTGCTTGCTGTGAGAAGCACAGAAAAGTGTATTAAGTACAGTAAAAGCTGTATGATGAAATTCATGCGCTGTCTGGCACTTTCGGATACAGAGGGCATTTTTACTGTCAACCCAAAATTGGTGTACTGTGGGTGACATTTGACATCTGTGCAAAGCCCATGGATGTGAATCCCTCCCACGTGTCCAACTAGTCATGCAGCTTATCAAATAAGAGCAACATGCAGGGTTCCCAAACCTTTTTAAAAGTAAGTATTAGACCAAAAAGTCACATGACACATGAACAGAAAATAGGAACAGAGTAGTCCGTTCCCCACTCCCACCAACGTTACAATAATTTTCTGTACTAGGCTTATTTTAAGGCCCAGCAGTTCCTGGCGCTAATGTACCCTTACTGGTCAAAGTCCTAGAGAAGTTAAATTTGATTTTGAAATTTTACAAAAAATAAAATTTATATTATGCACAGTTTCCAACTAATTTCTTAAGAATCTACTTCTTGTTTAGAGAAACTTAGCACATTCAATCATATTAAATTATAAAGGAGTTTTCCTTAATGATAACCACTCAAACCTGCCTAATTTCGTAATAGTTAATTCTCAAAAAAAAATAGAACTTTACCTGTCAGCACTCTCTTTCACTGAGAATATTCTACTATTCCTTACTACAGACATTTCTGAAACTGTAAAATTATCAACAGATAAAAGTCTTAGAGAAATAAATTCTTAAAGACATTTTGTTAATCAATATTGACTGATGTAACAAATGTGTTGTCATGCTTTTCCCAACTTGCAAAACTATATATACACATGTACTATAAATATATACATGCACACTTAGCTTTAACCATATCCCAGTAATTATAAAATAAATGCAATTTTAGAAAGCGTGTTAGTACTTGTTACGAGTCTTGTATATTTAACTGGGGAAACAGTGCCAAATTTCTGTGCTTTAATACCTTACCTGAACTAATTGGTGTAGGCAGTTAGCTTTAAATTATTGTAACAAAAATAACCCTAAAAATGCGAACAATCAAGACGCTTCTTAAAATGCAGCCTGAAACCTTCTGTTGGGGAATCCTATCCACTTAACTTTATGAAGTTTAACTACCAGCCTGACTATAAAGTTATTCATTGAAAAGTTTTATTAAGGAAATGTCATGAATACTAATAACACAGTATGTTAGTCCGTTACTTGTACAAGTGCAAACTGAAACAGAATACGGAATAGCATTCCACATAC